GCAAACGCATCCAGGATCTTTGCGTTTTCGCCATAGAACAAATTCCTGACCATTTCTCCCCAGCCGAACGTTTCCAAAAGCTATGCAGACAAGAAACATTCTGGATATACAAACTGAATACCCTTGTTCCAACGGGACTAAATGAAGAACTGGAAATTTTGACCATTCTATAAACGATGCCCACCCACTGCCCATCGACGCCCTGAATACCCAGACCAATCGGTCCCCCACATACCCGATGTTCCCCTCCACGAACTCACCCTCAGTTTAAATTGCGTTACGCTCTTCCACATATCAGTATGACCCACGCGTTCCCATGATAGCCTTTTTAAACATCTTTTTCATCATTCGTTTAAACATTCGTTTTAAATACTCGTTTTAATAAATTTTGTCTATTTTTATACTCATAATTTTAAAACCTTTAGTTTTTATTCATCTATTATAGCTCATGATTTATGTGCTAACTTTTTATTCCCATTGAGATCCTCCCCAAATCTCATTTTTAACTATTTCTTTGCGTTATCAAAACAATATATTAAAAACAATATATGGTAGACAGGTCCCCAAGACGAAATACACGTATTTAATGCTCCCTTTCAGCAGCCCCCTCTCAAATCTGCAATAAAATTACCATACATAATTAGAAATCTAATTTAACACACACACACACACCACGAATTGTCCCCCCTTCTAAGATTGTATACAATTAGACAATCAACCTTAGAGCGTCCTTTAAGACATTTCTAATGCCTCCCCCCGGTGGTGACTCACTATTCATGTCTGTTATGCCCATGGCACGCTCCCCTACGGACAGAATAGGGGCTGTAGATCCACCCCCAAGTTGCCCTCAATTGTTCAACCTGGCTAGTGTAGCTTTAGCTCTTACCGATTATTACACATGCCGAGGCTCCACTACTTCGAGCGTGCGGCTCCCCCGCCCACTGTCACTAAGCTCCACCCAGCTGTCACATTTAAATCGGCGGTTTCCCGCCGCCACGATATGTTCCTTCTCGAGCTTGAAAAAGAGGTATCACTCCTCGAAACGCGTTGCTCACTGCCTTTCC